GACTCTTCTCTAATTAATTCATAGGAAAACCTTTCTTTGAATGAACACACATATCCGTCAGGTCATTGTGTTTGTTGTTACTGTTCTTGTATATTGTCTTTTGTATTGTATACTGCTTTATGCATGCTTATGATAGAACCACTCATTCATGTAACCTTACATATACCATGTTTGGTCTCTATGAATTCGTCTTCGGATGATCTAATTGAGAGTGTATATTATATGTTTATACCTATGCAACATATTAGTGTTCCCTTTACGATTTTGATCCTTACTACATGCTCTGCATTAATACTGTATGAAAGTATTTTCTGTGGCCACGAAAATACCCTTTCCTAGAGTTGATATGAACTTACAATGAATGTTCGCTGGATGAACAGATTAGTTGAGGGCAATTTCATTCTGCTACAGTTACTACTGGCAGCTAATATAAATAATTATAATTAATCATAATTAACTGTAATTATTTATATACATTTCCCTTTTGAGCTAATTTGCTACAAATCTCAGATTAGCAGCCCATATAAATGGTACCAGAATAAATTAATCTGTTATTGGGCGAAGAAATCCCCACTTTCAGTTTTAAATGTATAAGTCTTAAGTCTGACGAAGAAATATCATATTAGCGGCATTAATTAATCTGCGTGGCGAAGAAATCCCACTGCCAGTGATATTAAAACTGGGCGACGAAGAAATCGTGCTGCAGTATATTTACTTTTAATAGTGATTTGAGCGATGTTCCTCATCTCCCTAAATTAAGGCCTTCTTGTAACCATCGCGTATCATTGTAGTCACTGAAGTGATGCAATTGAATAGCGAATTAATGGTGTAATTCTAGCCTAGCAAACTAGTAATTTGCCATTGTCTGTGAAGTTAATGTGCTGTTTTGATTTGTGAAAGAAGTTGTATGCGATACGTCATAACTGACTGTGCGTGAGTTCCCATGCATGTTTACAGCAGTGCAAGTTCTGCTCCACTTGTGCGTGTTGTAAGCTTGCATCTCTTAGCAACATCTGACCCTGGGGGTGGAGAGCAGCCTCTTCCGGTTCAATCTGATAACAGCACACACGTCACAGACCCTTGCGTAAACAAACAACTGAGTGTAGCCAAAGCTAACTCTGTAGCAGCCGCACAGGCATTTAAGCTAAGCCCATTACCTCAACTGTTAGCTGTTAGCATCCGACTAACTGACTCTGTGTGAGTGTAAAGTGGAAAGTTTGAACCACTCCTCCTCTCTCTCTCCCCCTCCCTCTTGGTTTCACTTCCTGTTTGTGCTATCACCTTCTGTTTAGACTCAGTTAGGTCGGTCCCTCTCCACATACTTTGGTTCTAATTTTATTTTCATTAATTTACCTTTGTTCAGCTTGAATGTACCAATTCAGCTAAGTTGATTTTAATTGAATCTGAGATTTAATTAGTTCAATTTATTTATTTTTCCTTTTAGTTTCCTACAGCTATTAGGACCTTTTTGTTTTACTTTTACCTTATTTTAGTTTGTTTGACCATCACCTTCTTCCCTCTCGGTATAGGATTATAGCAGTTCTAGCAGCTGTTGTATCCTTAATGAGCCGTACAGGTTATTAGTAGCCCTAATTCCTGTCTCTGCTATACCCCTCCTCCTCAGCACGAGGCCTATTGCATAAGGTACAGTTACCATTCATTATGCTACAGGCCCCTGAGAAGACTAGAAACACTTCCTAGTGTCTCTGTTTATATACGTTGAGGTGTTTGTGTCCCTGCTAGCTTAGCTAACAGTCTCCCTAGGTTTATGACCCTGCAGCAGCATTCCTTTGAACAAGTGACAACTGCTTAGTCATATCTCCTAGCTTAAACTAAATAAGAGATTCCTGCCCGCACAGGAACCTGGACCACAGCTGAGACCATGTGATGCACACACTCCCATGAGTCTCTTCAAATATTGTTCAAGTTTCCTGCCGCTGTTTTGGATATTGCACCCATGACGTCTTGACTCTTGTGTTGTTGTTGTTGTTTTTTCCTAATAAAGTTTCTAATAAACTGTTTAACTGCACTCGCAAATGAATCTCAAGTTATTTTATGTGATAGTTATATATATTCTAAATAAACAACAAACAAAAAATATATACATTTCAAATTACATATGCAAAATATCATACTCTAAGACAAAGAGTCGTAAATTTTCCCTCCAAAAGTCACCATTGGCTCTGTGACCTCTGTGAACAGATTAGTTGAGGCCAATTTAATTCTGCTACAGTTACTACTGGCAGCTGATATAAATAATTGTAATTAATCATGTTATGCGGGCCTTTGTCTTCTCAGGTGTGAATCACAGCATTATCCATGACCATTCATGCCCCCTCGCATATTCCTTTTCTACACAAAATATGTCTTAGAAAATTTAAATCAATTTATTGTTTTCTGTGAATGAGTGAGTAAGATGATTTTCACATCATTTTGAAGCAAAAACTCTAGATGTCAAGATCCAGTTCTCAAAAGTATTGCGAACAAATGTTCTGTGTGTGTTTTATGGCCTTATTTCAGTGACTTTAAAATTTTAGTTTTTCACTAAGCACGCATAAACGTTGTTTTCTCAAAAACACAATCACGTACATACATGCTGCTCACATATTATTGTGGCCCAGTTTGTGCTGATTACAGTGTTATTAAACTTTAGCCATTAAAATGTTTATAAGCAACTGAAAAAAGCACAAATGTCAGGGCATGTCAAAACTTATCCAGGGCCCCAAAACACCCTCAGACCCCAGAGGGTTAATATGATTTTCCAGTTGTTCTATGAGAAGCTGTACAGGTCAGAGGTATACTCTTCAGTCGAGTCTGATATGGAGAGTTTTTTCAGTGGCCTGAACATACCCAGAATCTCAGATGAAAAGAAAGAGATGCTTAACAAGCCTGCATATGACTGAAGAAGAAGTTAAATCAGCTATTAAAGCCTTATGTAAATAAGCCCAATGGGCTTACTTCAGAGTTCTATAAAGAATTTGAAGATCTTCTAGTCCCTCCTTTACTTAGAATGCTGTCTCACTCTTTTGACACAGGCAGCTTGCCACATTCAAAGTTAGAGACTAATTCAGTCTAAAGAAAAGGAAAAAAAATGGCAGAAGAATGTTTATCCTACCGAACAATGTCTTTATTAAACGTAGACAGGACGGTAATTGCTAAAGTTTTGTCTAAAAGGTTAGAAGCTGTAATTCCTGTTAATCTCCACTGATCAGACTTATTTTTTTCGAGGCTGAAATTCCTGTAATAATATTCAATGTTTTTTGAATGTTGTATAGCATGGACAAAATGTTCATGTTGGATCACTGGTGGTGTCTCTCGACGCTGAGAAGGCTATTGACTGGATAGAGTGGTCCTATCTTTTCTGGGTTTTAGACAAATTTAACCTTGCTAACAATCTTATAAGATGGGTAATGCTGCTCTATACGTAACTGCAAGCCTCTGTCATGTATTTGCTCCAGCGATCAAGCCCCTGAGTTTTCCAAGGATAGAATTATTCAAATCTTTAATAAATTCGGCATCTTTTCAATTTACAGTTTCAAAGACCTGTGTTAAGTGTAAAATGGAAGACGGTACATATTTTCAGTGTATTATTGACTGTTAAGGCATTCTTAATGGCATGTCTTAATGGGAATCTCTCTGGACCTTGACCCACTGGTGTGTATTTTAGGGATTCTTTCATATAACACCTGGAGCTCTTCTTAGATCCAGCTGCTCAAAATTTTATTTACTGCCAGACGCTGGATATTGCAGCAGTGGATTTCTGAAAAACCACCAACAAAGACACAGTGGACTAAGAGTGTATTGGACATTATCCCATTTGAAGCCTTGAGTTTTTTTCCTTAAAAACAAGCTATTTCAGTTTTACAAAACCTGGCACCCTTTTCTCTCCCACTTGGGAAACAGTTTGAGTTGGATTTTGAAGAACGGACTGCATGGCATTACATGGACCGAATTGAGGTGAACATATTACTGGGTGCCTCCAACTGTTGTATTTTTCTTTTTTTATTATTTAATTATTTATTACTACTATTATCAATAATATTTTTTGTTTTTTCCTGGCAATTGCTTTGCTTTCGACTGTGACAGTATGATTGTTTTACTACGATGCCTCTGAAGACAACTGTTAAAATATGTTTTTTTTGTTGTTGTTTTTGTTGTTGCTCTTCTTGCAAATAAAGGGAAAAAAGGAACTAAAACTCCATCGGTGACAGAAATGGAGAAAAATAAACCTTGGGAGAAACAAGGCTGGGGGACCAAGTCTCCTCTGGCCAGACGAAACCAGCATGGTGTGGTTTAATTCCAGGCTGCAACACAAGTTAATTTGAGCAGAGGACTTGTCTGATATTACATGTCATTAATTACACTCTACAACATTATACATGGCTTTTTAAACATTTTTCTCATGTCATTTATTGAAACGTTTTCATTATCTGTACAGCTCAAACAGGAAAACAGTATGAAGTCACAGATTTCAGCATGAAGTCATTGACTGACCCAAACCCATAAACAAAAAGACCACCAACAGGGAATCAAAGACAGAAAGTAAATATTCAGACTGATGATCTAGTTGGAAGAAATAGTCATGTCGATCCAAGAGCGCAGCTGGGAGACGCTGGCGTAGACTGCAGGGAAACGGGGGTCACAAGTGCTTCTTTCCCAAGACACAGAGCCCACCAGAGTCCAGACCCCTGAACTCTCACACACCAGAGGACCACCAGAATCACCCTGCGGAAAACACACATTTGAGACTGAACAGCAGCAACATTAATAAGGTAATGTGTTTCTTCTTGATTTGTCTTCATATACCTGGCAAGACGAGGAACCGGAGGCTCCAGCACAGATCATGGTATCAGTGATCCTGCTCTGACTCCAGATCTGCCTGCACACAGCAGGACTAATGATGGGTACGACTGTTTGCTGCAGGATCTCAGGGCTCGCTAAAAAAGAGAAGAAATCATGACACATTGCATTGCACAGTAAACAGATGTGTTTTTATTCTCTTTTTGTTTTACAGCTGACTGACTTGTGGTGGCAGTCTGGCCCCAGCCAGTGGTGAAGCAGCGGGTTCCAGGCACGATGTTGGTGTTTGATGGAGCCAGACATACAGGAGAGATACGGGGAGTAAATGTGACTGGAGCCGACAGTTTCAGCAGAGCAATGTCATTGTTGAAGGTTGCCCTGTTGTAGAGCGGATGGGTGATGACCTGCATATACATACAAGACGGATGATCAGTTAGTAGTGAGAGCTGACTTTTTAGAAGGTAAATAAAGATGTAAGCATTTACTTACAACCTGTATTTTTAGAATGTGGTTTAGATGTTTTCTTGAATTTTATATTTGTAAAAAATGTGTTGATGTTGTTAAATGTTAGTTTATTTTGGCAGGTTTTAGGAATACAATAGCATTCATTTTATACTTCAAAACTTCAATTAGAAAGAGACATGTTGTCTGATATTTGTACCAATTTGCACACTTTTCAACTGTAATATTGAGTTCACTGATTAAAACCCCCCACAACTGTTTAACCTTTTAAATGATGTCCGTTCAATCACAAATGAGAAATATGTGAGTTCAATTAAACAATAATAATAAAGATTAAAATTAGATTTAATTCAATTTAATTTAATCTAATTAAGATTAAAATCATTTTGCAACCTCTGAGATCACACCTTTTCTTAAATTACAGGACATACTCCTACTACTAAAATATTTATAATGAATATGTTTTTGTAGTGTAATGATGACTTGGTTATTATTATGTTTTACATGATGAATTCTCCGTTGTTTGACCTCATGAAGGCTTTAAGTCTTCTGACTATTTCCTTGAGAAGCATCATGATTTCAACTCTCTCATTGTATGTTATGATGTCATTGATTGTTTTGGATTAGAAGTAGCATTTGTTGTTGCTGTGTTGAAGTTTCAGTCAATTTATCATCCTATACTTGCAGTAAAAGAACTGCTTTCCCAATAAGTCTTTGACATTAACTAGTCACGTATTCAACCTTGGCAAGCCGTTGCAAGACAGTGATACTAAAGAGGATGGGACTAAAGTTGTGTCACACTATGATTATATCTTTAGAGCTGGGCTAAAGTAAAACTTAGTACTAATATCAGTTTCTTTAACACCACTTTAGATAAAATGAAGGAAAATAAACTGGTCAAACAAGTTATTTAAAGTAAGAGTGTTACGAAATGGTGTGCTTTTCTGCAACATCACTTACATTTTTTAATTCATAAAATGCTATAGCCAGTTTTATTTTATTTGAATCATGTTTACATGGTATGTCTACAATATAAAGTAATGGGTTCAGTTTTTCACAATTCAGATAGGACTTTTGTCCCTCAAACCTCCTCATACAAGAAGACAATACAATCTTAAGTACTTTACATAACCTCTGAGAAACCTGTGAAAACTTCTCTTTCGTTGTTTCATTCAGGCACACTTCCAAGTAAATTAGAGGAAAACGAATATTTTTGAAGCTCTTAATCAACTGAACCAATGTTTCACAAAAGGATTTACTTTCGAAGCGCCTGAAACACCACATTCTGGCAGCACCTGCTGCTCAAAATATTGTAATATTGAAAATGCAACGAAATATAAAGGAAATATAAAGATTTTTTATATTTCATTGCATATTATAATTTTTACGTATCATCAGAAAATTATTTTTACGTATCATTGTTCTTTTTGTATTTTGCACGCATAAGTATTAAAATGCATTAATAAAAATGAAGCTACACTATCCACCTAATTTTTCCCGCCGACATTTGTAAATTTAATGTGTCTGGCTTCTGGTGTCATCCTTCCAGTGGTGCCATGCTTCCAGTTATTTTTAGCTGTAAAAAAAACAGCTTGTTTTGCTTGATATTGCAAATTAGTGTGTCCATATTATTTTTAATGTATTATCTTAATTATAAACACACTGGCTTGTAGTGCAAACAGTTTTACCATTTACTGCACTTTATTCTTCTTCTCTTTATTTCCCTATGGTGGCTAATGAACCGGAAGTCTCCCACATTCACAGAAAACGTCTCGGTTACATATGTAACCTTGGTTCCCTGAATAGGGAACAAGATGCTGCGATGACATCATTGCTATGGGAAACACCTTCAGTGTGATGAATGTCTGAAGGCCTTATACCTTCATGCCAATTCATTGGCCAATAGCGCTTAGCACCCCCCCAAGGATACGTCACATATGCTCATATCAGCATGCTACGCGCAAATTCATCAGATTTCCATATCACAAAGGAAGTGCTATTGAAGGTACAGGAACAGCCAGCATCGTGGCATCTCGTTCCCTATTCAGGAAAACAAGGTTACATACGTAACTGAGACGTTTCCTTTCATAGGTTCATTCAATGCTGCAATGACATCATCACTATGGGAATGATATACCAAAATGTCATCATGTACCTGAAGATAACTGGAAGTCCAAGGAGAGCATCTGCTCAAGCGGACAAAACCTGGGAGCCAGGAGCCGTTCTTACATCCAGACTTAGAAGTAGAACTTAGAAGTAGAACTTGATGAAAGTGCTAGAAGAGGACCATCCTGCCGCAGCACAAATATCTTCCAACGAAGACCCCTTAAAGAGAGCCTGAGAAGAAGCCATTGCTCTTGTTGAATGAGCACACACCCCTAGAGGCAAAGTCAAACCACGTGCCTCATAGGTCATAGAGATAGCCTCCACTATTCAATGAGACATTCTCTGTTTGGTGATGGCAGTCCCTTTGTTTTTACCACCAACACATACAAACAACTGGTCAGATCCACGCCACTGGGCTGTGCGGTCGACATAGAACTTCAACACCCTCTCCGGGCAGATGCACCCCTGCAAGAAATGGGAAACCAGAGGTGACGTCCAACAGAAACACCTCCCATGGGTACATGCTCAGCAGATATGGCTGCCACATAAACCTTAAGAGTGGCAGGGGCCACCCCCTTAGAAAAATGACTCTGAAGAAACTCCAGTATTGAGCCTACAGGACAATGGACTGGGTCAAGATTGCGTTGCCTACACCAGGAGGCAAAAAGCTTTCACTTAAGGGTATACAAGCGTCTCGTGGAGGGAGCCCTAGAATTAAGAATAGTGTTGGTAATCTCCGTCAAGAGACCAGAACACATTAATGCACTCCACTCAGGGGACAGAACCATAACTTCTGCAAATCCGGGTGAGGATGCTAAATTATGCCCCGAGCCTGAGTTAGCAGGTCGTGTCTGAGGAGAACCTCCCAAGCGGGGCCGGCTAGCAGACTGACCAATTCTGAGTGGGCCAGAACTGGATGTGAAAGTACGCATCCTTTAAATCGATAATCACAAACTAATCTCTGGTTCGGATATGAGACGAAATGGATTTTAACATCAGCATCTTGAATTTGCTCACTCTGAGTGCAAGATTTAGGCGACACAAGTCCAAAATCAGACATAAACCGCCATCTTTTTTAGGCACAACAAAATACAAAAATACAAAAAACTAAATCTGAGTGAGGGGTACTTCTTCTATAGCCCCTTTCTCTAGGAGTGACACAATCTCCTGACTCAACGCTGAGGCCTCGCAGGGACGCACCATCGTAGAAATAACCCCGCTGAAAGGAGGCGGCCCTTTCCGGAAAAGGATGGTGTAACCGTGTCGAATGGTATGTAGCACCCACTGCAATATCTCGTGCAGGCGTCGCCACACGAACCAATAGTCAGCCAGGGGCCTTAACCGTTCTATGCTTGGAAGCTGCTGAACTGCAGGTGCCGAGATATCCTCTGATTGCAGAGAGCCGTTGGTGTCTGCAAAAAAAGGAAGCACATGTGGAGAGACTGCACTTAATGAACTCATTGTTATCACCTGACCCTCCTGTATTGGGCCCCGAAGCATGTGAATGGCAGGAACCTCCGTAACAGGAAGTTGTCCAATCACCCAATCGAGCCAGCACGCCACACCGAAATGGGGGCTTTGATGGCCATCATAAACGGGCCATGCACGCATTACCCTAGGGCTTTTTCTCGAACTCTGAAGGCTGGAAAGCGCAGAGTGTCTGAGGAAGTGCTCATCATGAAAGCTCGTTCTAGAACCACCCGAGGAGCAATATGCGGCAGGACAGTTAACCCTTTAGGCGCCAGGGTTTTTTGGAAAAATGCTGGATTTTGACATCAAGATTTCAAAAGCTTGTGGCTTGAAAGGGCTTAAAGATAGAGATCTAATGTAAATTAGAAAAATGTTGGGCATGACCGAAAGTTTATGTCGAAGCTGGGAGGCCACAATAAGAGAGGCGAATACACTTGTGCGGTTCATCCAAACTCTCCAAAGGAGTGTCTGACCTCCGAGGATGAGCGGGGGAATCAGGAATTACTTGGAGCTTGAGAACGAGAGGCCCTGGCCATCAAACGCAGGTCTATCCGTCTACGTTGTGGTGAGCGAACCGGTGGACAAGACCTAGGACCCCAATCCTTATGAGGGGGTTCCATAGGAGATGGTTCACTCCGCTGAACCTCGTGAGGGCGCTCCAGAGAAGACAAGTATGGATGAGCTGCAGGCGGTTGTCGTTCGACCTCCCTTGGTATGATGGTATAAGGGCTTAAGAAATTCGTCACACCAAAGGTGTTTCCCATAGTGATGCCATCATCGCAGCATTGAGTGAACCTATGAAAGGGAACGGCTTACTTCCTTCCGCATTGAAGAATAAGTTGGTTAAGTCGTTCATGTGTTTGCCAGATAATTGCCATCTAGCGGCAAACATTCGGAATTTCGAAAAGTTTCAAAACAGTATGATGCAAAAAAGTCTGCTTTGTTGATACAAGCTCCAAATCACTGATTCAAAACAAATGTAAATAAATCTGTTAGCAATCAGAATTATTTAATACAATATGTGTACAAAATAATACAATATGTGAAACCCCCTTCTTCCTCATTTTTTTTCAGTCAAACTTCTGATTATGATTCATTCTTTTAGAGGAAACTGCTTTCAAAACATTGCTATATTTACCACATCTTTCTCAGTTCTGTGCACCATCAAAAACCAGCAAGAGAATCCAGCTCATCTAGCTCTAAACAATATGGTTTGGTCAGATTCTGATATAGTGTGATTTCTCGCCAAGATGACTAAACACAGTAAATATTAAACTTGATTTTTATGTAATTGGGTAGTAGATGTTTACTGAATGCTAGTGTAGTATCCTGAAGAGGATCCTTCAGATACAGTGTTAGCAGTCTGAATTTACAACACTAAATAATTAATAATAATTTGCACTATGGCTTAAGTGACAGGTTAATAAAAGACTTATGGAATATCAGTCTTTGTCATATTCTAATAGAAGAAAAGTGGGTAATGCTTTATATTACAACCCGCAATGTACTGCGTAAGTAAACAGAATTTACAACGTAACTTTTTTGTAATTACAGTGTACCTATTCAGTACCTCCGTGTCATGCCGCACTCCTGAAGCAACCTCTCTTGGAAGAGCTACTGCCTTTAATAGACACAACGTGGGGGAGTTCTTTGATAACCTCTCTAAAGTGATGGACAG